CAATAAAAAACTGCATTTGCGAACGTCAAATCGCCTATTGAAAAATCCATGTTTTGGGAAGGCAAACTCCAGAAATCAGTCAGATCAAAAAAATAAATAGGAGGTGTACAATAGTATGTCATACGAATCCATGAAAGTTTGATTCAAATACATTCCCTAGTTTATATTGTATTAATCTAAGGGGTGTTGCGGATTGGAGATGTTTAACTCTATAATATGAAACGGCAAAATTCATGTTTTTGTATGGGAAACCCTAGCATTCATTTTCAACAAGAGGTAAAATAGGAGGTGCACAATATATTTATTTCATGCGAGATGGGTTATACATTCGTAACAAACTATTGCATCATATATATAAAAAAAGAAGATGTGGTATGATTGCCAATGAGACAACTCTCCACAATAGACCAAATGACACAGAAATTAACAGATATAGGTCACCGTACGGCCTTAAACAATGAGAAAAGCCCATACCGCATAGTCAGCTATAAAAGGCCCCGAAATCACAAATGTAAAACAATTCAAACGAGAAAACTAACGGCCTAACTAATGTACAAACAAATCAACGGAAAACAAAAAAGTAACACAGCAACAAACGGCAACCACTGAACTACAGGCCCCTGACTTGGGACAGGTACATACATTCAGAATGTGGCGAGGTTAAACATGCTAGCGGGATCCCAACCCTCCCCTAACCTGGGACAGTGGTGTAACAGTACAACATAAGAACGAACTATAACAATCAGTTGAAAAAAGCTTAACTCATCAGATGGATACAAATAGAAATACATATAACAAAATTACAGAGTGGACGTGAACGGGTACTTGTACATCCAAATAATAAAAAGACATTAAGACTAAAAGTAGTCTGCTTTTAAGAACAGCGTTAAAGGACGACCTTCTTAAGAAAAAGTAGAATATTGACATATAATATTATATATAGTAATATACTATATCAGGTCAAAACTATAAATTACAGATCTTATACTTCCGATAACTCTCAAGTACTGAGATCAGTATGCAATATTTGATGATAAATTACTTAATTTAACTGGTGTAAGTTGATCATTGTGCATTAGGTACGCTCGATTAAATAATTGGAGAGCCAACATATTGATAACCTTCGTGAATATCCAAACCAAACAGAACTTAACTAACATCATATAAGCAAAATTAGGCTTAATTCAATTATATAGGTTTGGCATTTGTAATTTACAGTGTTTATATATGGATGAGAAATGTAGCTTTATGAGGCTATGTGTAAACATGCGGTAAAAACAATAGCCATAGACATGGGGGTTTGTATATGTGTTTCTCTAATTCTTCGTCAATTTATCCCTTTCTGCACCCATTGTATAAAAAAAAATTTAATCAACGTGTGGTTCGTTTGATCTCAGTTCTTCATTGGTTAAAATCCGATTATGACGTCGAATTTTCTTGCTTTCCTCTGAATCTCCTATTGTGACGGCATGAAAAAAGGCGACCTTGCCTGATGACGTCACATAGAAAGAACACATCTTTTTGCAGATCATTCGAAAAGAAGGAATTAATTTGCCTGCGTATTGTTTGAAAATCATTAGAGAAACAGATTCCACCACCAAATCTCGTGTAATACGATATTTATCCACTCTCTACAGTTAAATTTTAAATATTTAAAACGCTCGGCGAGCCTCGCGTTTTTAAATTTGAAAATTTAACTGTCTCGAGTGGATAAATATCGTATCACACTCGATGCAGCGGTAGAATCTATATATATACAATTCCACCTTCTTTCAACTGAGGAATAGTACAATTTACTTCTCCCTATATTTCGACTTCCACTATAAAGATTTTGTCCTCTAATTAAATATTTCAATGTTTGGTGACTATGTTGAAAGTATCTTTCCCATCAAACTTAAAAATTAGGATTACTACACCAAGACCAAAAAAATTTCATGACCTATATGAAAACTTGAAAAAAGATGATTTCCAATCCCAATTGTGAACTTTTCATTTCTATGTTGCAACACAGCAGCAGCGCCCTCCTATGGAGTATATTTATCAAGTTGATACGAAATGTCAGTGATTGCTTTTCTTTGATTTTGATATGAACGAAGGAAACTTAACATCGAATTCGTACTAACCATGATCAACAAGACATGTTCCACGTGTGAAGCAGGGTAAACTTACCTTGCAGTAGCACCAGCTGATATCACTCCTGGCTTTTGTTGGGGTTCGAGTTGTTCAGTCATTATCTTTTATGTAGTTTTGTGTATACTGCTGTATGTCTTTACGTCGTTTTTCGTTATTTTGTAATGAAATTTTGGCTTTCTCTTTGACCTCTATGTTTAGATTCTTCCTTCGATATGTCCATGCTCTTTTTTAAACAGATATGAGTTCAATGTTAATTAAGCTTCACAGAATTTTTAATAGTTAATAATAAAAATAACAAATAATTAATCTATAAATTTTACATATGGTACTACCAAAGCACTGGGTACATGGCGTACGTCATCCTCTAGGACTAACTTTTATCAAAATATTCGTTCTGTTGATAAATGATAGAAATTTCTTGAAGTCAATTATTAAATGCGAACCGTTGTATGCACAATAAACTTATATATTTACAAGTAGTTATTGCAGTCAATTTTTCAGAGGCCGCATTTCAGTTTTCCATGTTTTGTTTCTATTCCTTTTTCAAGCCCGTACATATATTTTACCGTTTATGTTCCTTAATGTCGTTACATACAAATATATAGCTTGACGTGTTTTTATACCATTTTTCTATCTGTTTCCTGACTTATGACCATAGTAATTATCCTTACTCATAGTTGGAAGAAATAACAGCAAAAGTGCGCACTAACCTTAAAACTAAATAGCCAAGGGCAATTGACGGTCGCGTGTAAATTTTTAGCTCACCTGGCCCAAAGGGCCAAGTGAGCTTTTCTCATCACTTGGCGTCCGTCGTCTGTCGTCCGTCGTCCGTCGTCGTCCGTCGTCGTCGTCCGATAACTTTTACAAAAATCTTCTCCTCTGAAACTACGGGGCCAAATTTAACCGAACTTGGCCACAATCATCACTAGGGTATCTAGTTTAAAAAATGTGTCCGATGACCCCGCTTGCCAACCAAGATGGCCGACATAGCTAAACATAGAACATAAGGGTAAAATGCAGTTTTTGGCTTATATCTCTAAAACTAAAGCATTTAGAGCAAATCTGACATAGATAAAAATGTTCATCAGATTAAGATCTATCTGCCCTGAAATTTTCAGACGAATCAGACAAGCTGTTGTTGGGTTGCTGCCCCTGAATTAGTAATTTTAAGGAAATTTTGCAGTTTTTGTTTATTATCTTGAATATTACTATAAATAGAGATAAACTGTAAACAGCAATAATGTTCAGCAAAGTAAGATCTACAAATAAGTCAAACCATGACCAATATGGTCAATTGACCCCATAAGTAGTTATTGCCCTTTATAGTCAATTTTTAACAATTTTTCGTAAATTTTTGTAATCTTTTACAAAAATCTTCTCTTCTGAAACTACTCGGCCAAATTTAACCAAACTTAGCCACAATCATCACTAGGGTATCTAATTTGAAAAAGGTGTCCGATGACCCCGCCCATCAATCAAGATGGCCGACATGGCTAAAATAGTACATAGGGGTAAAATGCAGTTTTTGGCTTATATCTCTGAAACTAAACCATTTAGATCATATTTGACAATGGGGTAAAAATGTTCATTAGGTTAAAATCTATCAGTCCTGAAATTTTCAGACGAATCAGACAAGCCGTTGTTGGGTTGCTGCCCCTGAATTAGTAATTTTAAGGAAATTTTGCAGTTTTTGGTTATTATCTTGAATATTATTATAGACAGAGATGAACTGTAAACAGCAATTATGTTCAGCAAAGTAGGATCTAAAAATAAGTCAAACCATGACCAATATGGTCAATTGACCCCAGAAGGAGTTATTGCCCTTTAAAGTCAAATTTAACAATTATTCGTAAATTTTTGTAATCTTTTACAAAAATCTTCTCTCCTGAAACAACTGAGACAAATTTAACCAAACTTGGCCACAATCATCACTAGGGTATATGTCCGATGACCCTGCATGCCAACCAACATGTCAGACATGGCTAAAAATAGAACTTAGGGGTAAAATACAGCTTTTGCCTTATATCTCTGAAACTAAAGCAAATGTATAACGGTTGCATTATTTCATGCATCAATTGTAAATAAAAATAGCAGGTGAGCGACACAGGCTCCTTGGAGCCTCTAGTTTAAAATGTCATAGTAGCACGCAGACCATTTCAAGCTAATAAAGGGGCCTGTGCTGAAAGTTTATCTATTGTGATCAAAAGCATTTCAACACTGAGGTTGTGAGTTTGGAAGGCGCTATTCAATGAAAACTGACTGCCAAGATAAAGTCAAGTAATCTGAAAGTGGCGTTAAACGCCAACAACTTATTAGTGGATAAGGAAAGTTTTTAAACCTATTATAACCTATTGTAATCCCCCCCCCCCCCCCCCCCGTTTTCAAAATCCTGAATATGCATCCGAATGTTACCCTGTGCCTGTTAGTATTGCTCTGTTGACAGTGTTTAGATTCCGTCTTTTACCATGTAATTTGAATAAAGTCATTTACATAGTTATAGATGAATGATTAGGACATTTCAATTTCACCATTAAAAGCATTTCATATGTAATTCACATTGAATTCGTATAAATGAAGCTAACACTTGATAAATTTGGTGCGTTCGAAGCGCTTTTCTGGATTAAAAAACGCTAAAATTTAAACGGACAGAATATGCCAAACTGAATACCAGTGAACACTACTGGTGTTTGACTATTGGAATATGTTTCAAATGAACTTTATGTATTATTGCTGTTCTTCACAACATTATTTTAGTACAACGTAAATCATATATATTTCTTTCAAAATGACAATAGTCTCAACCTTGTAAATTACATGATATATCCTTTATCCGTCAACATGTCCGGTTTTTTAATAAAACGCAGTTCAATACATGCACATGTCTATAACCAATGTAATAAGAGCCTGTATCATTACATCACTGTTGGTATATAAGCGTTTGTAGTATTTGGAAGAAATAGCCTCAACACGAAATATGGAGACATATTTACTTGTTTTAAGTCTTGCAATATTTGTTGGGCAAGCCTATTCATGTTGTATGCCACAAAAACTGGAGGGAAAAGTGGGGATGTCAATTGGTTTAAAAAATAATGGAGATCCGTTGGGCATCACGGTAAGTGTTAATTTTCAAATCTTTAAAGTGAATTTCTAGATAATACTTAAATCTTGTTTCTTTTTTAAACTTTTTTCTGTATAGTTTTTTAAAGGCATTACACAAGGTAGTATATCCCTGTACTGTTTATATGAATAAGAAGATGTGGTATGATTGCCAATGAGACAACTCTCCATCCAAGTTACAATGTATAAAAAGTTAACAATTATAGGTAAAGTACGGCCTTCAACACGGAGCCTTGCATTGGCTCACACCGAACAGCAAGCTATAAAAGGCCCCAAAATGACTAGTGTAAAACAATTCAAACAGGAAAACCAACGGTCTAATCTATATAAAAAACGGGAAACACCTATGAACCACGTGCACACCAACAAACCACAACCACTGAACAACAGGCTCCTGACTTAGGACATATGCATAAAAATTCAGCGAGTTTAAACGTTTTAACAGGAGTCAACCTTCACCCTAACCTGAGACAGTAGTGTAACATTACAACATAAAAAGACGCACTATAAAATATCAATTGAAATGGCTTTTCTCGATATCTGAATTACTGCAAACGATCTTGAGTATAAGCGGTATAACTACTTACCAATAGGTTTAAGTGCTTTGAACTTACTTTTAGTAACTGCGTGCATTCTTTGATGCGGTTTAAGATGTAATATTTTTGTTTTGTTTTAATATCTATTTTACACGTTTTTTAAAGTCAATTGATTTTCCTGCACTGCTCTTTTATTGTTTGTTTTGTTATGTTCGTATTGTAACTGTACCAATTTAGATTAAAAAAGGGGGAAGTTTGAAATCTTAATCAAGTGTAACCCCGCCACATTGTCTTGTGTCTGTCTACAGTCAGGAACCTCTTTTAGTAGTTTTCGTATGAAATATCTTAATGGTTTGTTTGGTTTTTTTTTATTTGGAGAATTTACTTTGAACGGCAAGCAGGTCTTCGATTGTTATTGCTAAATTTATTTACAAATTTTATATACTCGGGATGATTAAGTCGTAGCTTGACATAATGTATTGCATACAATAGGAAGACTGTGTGTTTACCTCTAGATGTATTTTGCTTATTTTTTCTTTGGGTTGCTGTCTCATCGACCCGTTATCTCCCTGTATTCTATTTTTAATGTTAATCCTCATGCATCTACAAGACAGTACACTGAAGATAAAATTGAATATAATACAAAATAGACACAATAAGTGAAATCGTTACTGTAGTGTTTCCGAAATAGACTAAGTAAGTAGTTAGTCTGATCAAATATGCATCACTGCCAGTTGCTGGCATGACACGGGTTATGTTCTTCTCATATATTTTATGACGGTATAATACTAAACCCCTAACAGGAGGGAATGTGCCTGATATTCATATGATGAAGACATAATCTTTCAATCAGTTTAATTGAGGTCTGGAGCTGGCATGTCAGTAACTGCTAGTAGTCTGTTGTTATTTATGTATTATTGTCATTTTGTTTATTTTCTTTTGTTTAATTCCTATTCTGACATCGGACTCGGACTTCTCTTATACTGAGTTTTACTGTGCGTACTGTTGTGCGTTTGTTTTTTCTACATTGGCTAGAGGTATAGGGGGAGGGTTGAGATCTCAAAAAACATGTTTAACCCCGCCGCATTTTTGCGCCTGTCCCAAGTCAGGAGCCTCTGGCCTTTGTTAGTTTTGTATCATTTTTAATTTTAGTTTCCTGTGTATAATTTGGAGTTTAGTATGACGTCCATTATCACTGAACTAGTATACATATTTGTTTAGGGGCCAGCTGAAGGACGCCTCCGGGTGCGGGAGTTTCTCGCTGCATTGAAGACCCATTGGTGGCCTTCGGCTGTTGTCTGCTCTATGGTCGAGTTGTTGTCTCTTTGACACATTCCCCATTTCCATTCTCAATTTTATACTAGTGTTTTATTTGTCAAACATAAACATTTTACTTGCATGATCAACTAGACGGTAACCAATAGAGGAACTGAAAATGCTAACCCTTCCGGATCACCTGAGTTCATCCAGATTGTTTGTGTAGTTCTTGTTACTCAATCTTTCATCTACTGTTTCATGTTCATGTTTTATTGTTACTGGTATTTTCGTTGTTTTTTTTTTGTCATGATACTGTCTGCTTAATGTGACTTTTGATTTTTTATTGCCCTTGGTTCGTCTGTCTTTTTCTTTTCAAAATTCAGATAGAAGGCTTACAATGAACTGCGCAAAATGTTTCGGGTTTAATCCCCTGTTAGTACAGTGTAGTAATTTACTAAAACATAAAAAATGATTTCATAAATTATGTATGGCCAATCGTAATGTATCGTATAATAAATGTTGCGGCGCTGATTTCGTGTTTTGCGGAGTCAGTTTTTCTGAGAAAAAGACATATTGAGAAAATATATCAGTAAAAGCCATGTAAATACTGGACATCGTATATACATGTATTTGTACAATGTGAATTCATAAAATCTCAAAGATCTTGTCATAACTTCACATTGTTTCATGACGAATTCCAATCGCCGCTTTCTAGTATAGATGCAATTTCCCACAAATTTCTTGAACACAACAGTCAATTTCTCGCATTGCCCCGGGTTTTTAGCACCAAATATTCTTGTATTGGATCACGATGTGTGCATTCGCATTCATTTTTTATTATTAGTTATTAGGTCGTTTTTCAAAATGTTTTAATGTAAGGCATACACCATTTACTCTAAGAAAAAAAAAACTCGAAATTTAAGGGAGATATGGTGCTTATTGTCTGGGAACACTTAGCAAACATTTCACTTTTCCGTCCACATTCTATCGGAACGCGTTAAAGACGGTAATGAACATAAAACTAATTATTATTTTTTTTTATTTCCAGGCAATGTATGACAAGTGGGCAATGGATACTACTATAGCAAAAGGCTACCTTTCTGGAACACTCTACGTCATGGGTTATGAAGTTCACCAAGAGGTTTTTCAGGATTACAGTCAAGTAAGTCAGTGTGACATTTTCATTTTTCCATGCAACGTGTTCAAGACGGTTTAAGAACATTTTGGATCATTCAAACACTAGAGACAACTGAAATTAGCCGATATTCAAATTTCGTAAATTAATTTAGTATTATATTCAAATCAAAACAAACGCTTATGCAATCGCATAACCTCCATGATTCCTTTGCAGGGAAAGCGTCTGAATAGGAGGATTGTTTATTTCAGAAAAGGAATCTGGTACAAAGATTTTACAAGGTAAACGACCACGATAACCAAATAGTTCACAATGCATGGTAGCAGCTAACCTAGTTCATCAACTATCTAATCCTTACAAACGGCTGAAAGCTACATAACAGTGTTTCTTAGATTTGTTTGGGCTGGATGAAAAATAAAAGTGAGATATGAGTTTTGCTTTGTGCTAAGGGTCTCCCTGTGACTTTGAGACGAAACACAGCAATTTCTGTTCTGAATCCTGGCATTTGGTATTAATAAACTGTACCTGCATTTTTTTATTTTTTTTTTGTCGTGAACCAATCTATGCCTTTTCCATTTCAGGGAATACAATACGAGCTTACAATGGGAAATTGCACTGCAAAATCATTACCATTGGCCTTTAAACCCGTAGGAGGAAAGTTTTGTATGCCACGTAAGTACTACATATAAATATAAATACTCTGACAGAATCCATAAAGATTTGATCATTGGTGAATTACTTATCAATTTTCTTTTTTAATTCCAATTATTACCATCGTAGACTCATGGAAATTTGTCTCGTATATATATCACCTTTCTAAATCATTTTTATATGGTAAAATGTGAGGCTAGGTCAAACATTTCTATTCAGTTTCGAACAGACTACAAATTAAATAAAGGTTTTGTACGGAAGCCCATTTAGGACCTTCCAAAAATATAATTTGAATTCGAAATCACGAATTGTATAATTTGTTATAACAGATTAAATTTGTGATAACGAATTGGTGGAAATCGTTATAACAGATTTTATAATTCGTAATTACGAATTAAATTCGTTATCACCATTTTTTGTAATTTGTGATAACGAATTAAAATCGTTATAACGAATTGTATAATTTGTTATAACGGATTACATTCGTGATAACGAATTTGTGGAATTAGTTATCACAGTTTTTTTGGTAATTTGTGATTTCGGATTAAAATTCATTATCACAGATTTTTAGCTCACCTGACCCGTTTTTAAACTTTTTGGCCAAAGTGAAACAAACTTGGCCACAATCAATTTAGTTTTAACGAATTTTATTTGCAAATTTATAAACAGGCATTGGACACTTAATTAGGGATTTTGTTTGTTTTTTGTTTTTGTAAAGGGCATAACTCAAGAACGGTAAAAATGATGCCACCCAATTTCAAACTTGATCTGTGTTTTGAAGTAATAAACATTGTGTAGTAGATTAATAACATTTGGTTGAGGCAAACTAAATTTAGAGAACGGAAACGACAGATTTATCACTTTGTCTATTTATAAAGGGGCATAACTCAAGAACGGTAGAAGTGACGCCATTCAATTTCAAATTTATCTGCGTTTTGTGGTAATAAGCATAGTGTATAAGTTTTATAACATTTGGTTGAGGCAAACTAATTTAAAGTTAGAGGACGGGAACCAATTTGGGAATGTACGCGACGGACGGACTGGACTGACAGACAAGGACTAGAATTAATGCCCCCATCGCCTAGCGGCGGGGGCATACAAAACGTGTTTAATACTCATAATTCGTAACCGATGCATTTTTATTCATTATTTTTTATTTAAAGTCTTTTTAGACCGGCGATTTCCTTCGTGTGTATCGCCCATGAATATATTTTACACAGAGGCAACAGAAGTAGTTTTGGCAACATGGTTTATCGTAGAGTAAAACCCAGGAAAGAAAATCGAACAGACTAACCATATTCAAGTTTTTGTTGATATGCTAATAATTTAAGAATTATTTGATAATGACGAAAACATTTTAGGAGAGCATGCAATTCAAAAACAAACAACAGATATAAGGAAGAAGAAAATGGAATATAATGTGCAAAAGTATTTATAAGATAAGGTTAGCCTGGAGTGTAGTGAAGTGAGAGAAATAAATAAGGATATCTACTACATGTATAAAGAATGTGTGCGATGAGCCCGCCTGCGGAACAACATGGCCAACATGGCCAAAAATAGAACATAAGGGTAAAAAAGGGTCAATTGCAGCTTTCAATCATGTGGAATTATTTGTAGATCTTTGCTTTCTCAGTGATCATTTTCGCTATAATAATTGATTAAAAGATTCTCTCTATCTATTATAATTTTCAAAATAATAGTCAAAACACAAAATAAAAAAAAAACGTCAATAAAGGAAAATTATTCCTATAAAAAGTAATCTTACAATTTTGATGTAAATAGACAGTACTGAAATCTTGTGATTCCAAACAATTCTCTTTCTATAGCGGTTTTCAAGATAAAAGAAAAAAACTTGCATTTTACCCTTGTGTTCTATTTTTGGTCATGTCGTCCATTTTGTTACGCTTGCGGGCTCATTGCACACATTCTTCAAACTAGAAACCATGATTTATTGCTCTCACTTCACTTCACTCCAGGCTAGCCTTATCTACTTGTGCACTTATATTCTATTTTCTTCCTCTTTATATCTTGTGTTTGTTTTTGAATTACATGCACTCCTATTATGTTTTCGTCATTATTAAATAATTGTTATATTATTATAGCATATCAATAAATGTGATTGGTCTGTTAGATTTTCTTTCCTAGGTTTACACTTCGATAAACCATGTTGGCAAAACTACTTTCGTTGCCTTTGTGTAAAATTTATCCATGCGCGATACACACTAATGATACATGTATTCGCCGGTCTAAAAAGACTTTAAATGAAAAAGAAGAAATAAAACTATATCGGTCAAGAAATATGAGGATTAGACACATTATTTTTCTGGAGATTTTTGGTGTGTAAACTGGGTCGCTGACTAATAAACTTATATATCAGTTTGTAAGTTAACCCGCCCATTTTACACGTGTACAGTGTTTTTGTGTTTATATTTTTACATGGAGAACACGTCATTAATGTTGTTTCAGTTTGTGTCCAATCCCTTTTTCTAATTTTGCAAATAAAATGCGTTAAAACTAAATCGCCCCGGATTGGGGTCAAGTTTGTTTCAGTGAGGAAGATTTTTGTAAAAGTAATGTACAGCGACGGGCGTAAAGTGAGGAGAAAAGCTCGCTTAACCCTGTGGGTCAGGTGAGCTAAAAATCTGTGTTAATCATTTTTAATCCGAAATAACAAATTACTAAAAAAAACTGTGATAACGAATTCCACAAATTCGTTATCACGAATGTAATCTGTTATAACAAATTATACAATTCGTTATAACGATTTCAATTCGTTATCACAAATTACAAAAAATGGTGATAACGAATTTAATTCGGAATTACGAATTATAAAATCTGTTATAATGATTTCCAATAATTCGTTATCACAAATTTAATCTGTTATAACAAATTATACAATTCGTGATATCGATTTAAATTCGTGATTTCGAATTCAAATTATATTTTTGGAAGGTCCTAAATCGGCTTCCGTAGTTTTGTGAGACAATGTATGAATATTTTCTATATACTGCAACTCTTAAAATTGTTCAAAATTCAATATTTTGCAATATCAATACAAATTACTCCACAAAGTTATGTGACACCGCTAGCCATTTATCGGGGTCATTGTACACACTTCGCCACGAATTGGGTTCTATTGCATAATATCGGGCTATTGGAATATGAACTATTTGGCTTCCATCCACGTTCCCCTCCCCGTGACCATATAAGTTGAAACAATAAAGATACCAAAGGATACACTAAAGTTATCAGTTAAAGAAAAGGGCTGGAAATACCATGAACGAAAGAAAAGAGGATGAAAAGGAAACATAATGATGATCATAAGATACTCTATCATAAACTAAATTAAAAGTCAAATGTGCTCCGGATGAGTAAACATTTCCTGTTGTTGTATTTTTGCTACCGTAGTTGTTTTCTGTTTTCACGTTATTTGTTTATTTTTTATTCATGCAATCATGGTGTCTTTCTTTACCCAGTAATTGATAAAGATTTTCAAAATATTTTAAATGGATATATTAATATTATTTCTATTTTTCAGCTTCCTCAAAAATAATGACGAGCTATAACGGTTTAGCTGATGACACACTTGATTTTGACATGTATCTGATTCATGTCCGTGGTTGCCAAATTACCATGTCAATGACGACAAAAGAATGCGCACCATTATCCGAAAGTTTCCTAACACAAGAAGGTATCTTCAATATCGGTTTCATGGGCCTAACCGAAGGCATTACAGACCCTTCTGTTTTCGAAATGCCCGAGATCTGTAAGGTTCTCCAGCGATCGATGAGAAAGAGAGTACGTATTATTTAAACAACAATCTGGATTGGTTTATGTTAAAATAAGAAGAAGTGGTATGATTGCAAATGAGACCATGAACATATCGCGTTATAAATTATAATTTCGTGCGGCCGCAGCGCTTTTCTGGATTTACCTTCATCGGACAACTATATCCGCCAGAGACCAAGACTTATATAAGATGTAAGGCAACTATAGGTCACCGTAAGGCCTTCAAACATGAGAAAAGCTCATAACTTTTTTGGTTTGCATTTTGAATTTTTCATTATTCTCCTTGCATGAATACTCATTTGCACGAACTTTTGAAGTTCGGCCATTTTTTGGTAATATCCGAACTCCTCATAGTGATCATGATCTACAGAATGTATACTCACACCAAGTTTGTCACATTACATTGTCGGATCAAGAATGAGATGAGGGGGATTGGTTATAAATCATGTAAATAAAATTTAGCTAGAAAACTATAGGCAACAGAAACTCGCTTTAAAATCTATCCAATTAAATAACATCTTTTATTTCGCTTTGCATAGAACTTCGACGAGAAAACGAGTCAATATAGATCTGCCTTTAAATCAGATTGAATCAGTGATGTCGTCATGAATTGGTTGGTGGTGGATAGAGCAAGAGAATATAATGATGTTAATGGACGAATAACAATTGAATGTTTTTCGTTTGCGTGACATCTAGATTGCAAACATTTCATGCCTATTAAGGCGAAGTATACGTAATTGCACGCTTCTAGCGGAATTTGGGATAAAAAAACGTGCGTCGTTAGTTACGCGAGTTATCTTCCCTACTCCAAGAAAGGAAAAATGGGCACATTAAAGAGAAATTACTTCGTAGGGCCTAATATCACGAATCCAAACAAGTTTTCCTGTGCTATCTTAAAACTTCAAAGAAATTATAAGAATGACTCCAATCAGAAATCTGAGTATCCTATTGTGAGTTAGTCTGACTCTATTACCACTGTTTTTGTTTTAGACACGCAAAAGCACTGAGGTACACAATACATAAAATTGAGAATGGAAATGGGGAATGTGTCAAAGAGACAACAACCCGACCAAAGAGTAAAAACCCACCAATGAGTCTTCAACACAGCGAGAAAATCCCGAACCCGAAGGCGTGCTTCAGCTGGCCCCTAAAAAAAAATGTGTATTAGTTCAGTGATAATGGAGACCATACTAAACTACAAAACATATAGATGAACTAAAATTAAAAATCATACAAGACTAACAAAGGCCAGAGGCTCTTGACTTGGGACAGGCGCAAAAAATGCGGCGGGGTTTAACATGTTTTATGAGATCTCAACCCTCCCCTATACCTCTATGCCAATGTAGAAAAAACAAACACACAGCAATACGCACAGTAAAACTCAGTTTAAAAGAAGTCCGAGTCCGATGTCAGAATAGGTAACAAATGAAACTAAGCAAAATAACAATGATACATAAATTAACAAAGGACTACTAGCAGTTACTGACATGCCAGCTCCGGACCTCAATTAAACTGATTGAAAGATTATGTCTTCATCATATGAAAATCAAGCACAATCCCTCCCGTTAGGGGTTTAGCTTAAATTAAATGATAGAATTGGCTAAAATTCGATGAGAGAATTGCTTTTCATTAATACTTTTGAAATATCAAATAAAAATAGGGGGTCACGGGCCTTATTTTCATAAAAAAAAATCCCCAAAATTTTTAAATAGTATTATACGTTACGACACTTATTTTTTTGATGACTAAGTTCAATCTTTTAATTTCAAGTTTTAGGTATTTTGTTGTATAATGAATGATACGTGGTAAATATTTAAAAAAAAAAAAAAGTATTTTTGCAACATGACGCTCAGAAAAAGACACCCGATCTACCTTAAACTGTGGCAGATAGTTGTCTCATTTTTAAACACACCACATCTCCTTATTTTTATATCATATTAACAAAACAGCAATTCATTTGCATTATATACAGGCACAACCTGTATGGCACTACACTAGGTAAACTCGTATAGCATAACATTTATCTATGAACAGTCTCCTTGCATTACACTAGGTTCTGCAATGTGGATCTACGGCGTTAAAGTACAAGAATTTTTTACTGCCATTAAAATACATGTATAAAGGTATCTTGGATAGGGGACATACACTTTACCTTGTTATGGGTTCAATGGGTTGAATCCCGGGTTCTCTTTACGTGCCGGTAGCGTGGAATCGGGTTGAGTTTTATGTTACCATATGGACATAGGTTCTTCTGTCTGCTGTAAGAAATCCAAGGAATGATAATATTTCTATAGCCAAGTCAACCCTGGGAGGAAATATATTAGAAGATTGGTACAAATGTTATACAATAATAATAAAAAAAAAGATTAAAACCCTTGTAGATGTAGTTTATCATTAGACAGATGGACATCAAGACCAATTTGGGGTACCATACTAAGATGCCTTACCGAAGGTTGAAGCAAACGTGAAACAACAATTCATGTTTCGATTGTGGAAACACAATCTCTTGTTGATCTTGTAAAACACCTAGCATGTTTTACAAGTAACCCCTAGCGCTTTAGACAACTACACTAATGCAAGGTATAGACTATTAAACACATACACAGTAAGTTTATAATGCGCCTCAACTGAAATGTAACTGTGCTTTCTTTTTCAGGATGTAAGAGAGTCACCATTCATTCCTTCTATCTAATGTCAAAAGAAGAGGACTGATAATACTTCTCGGAAATCTTGCATCTGTTCAAGTGTACCAAACAAACTCTCTATCCTTTCAAGTATAATCAAAATGAAAACTAGACTCTTTACGAGTACCAAATACACTTTTTACCGTTGTTCTTTACTGTAATTAATAGTAACCAATACAAGAAGTAGTAGTTAATATACTTTAATATTAAAATAGACTCATGAAGGTATCGAACATTCAATAGACCCCCCCCCCCCCCCCAAAAAAAAAAAAAAACAACAAAAAACAAAGACAAAAATAATAATTATAATAAAAATAAAAATACATGCATGAAACATTCGTGTTGATTTGTAATGATTTCAAATTACTAAAAAAAAAACACATCATATATGCACCAAATAAGAAGGAAGAGAAAGGTACCAGTCTTGTATTACAACTCCAGTTTTCAAAACATGGAGTTAAATAAAATAGTCCATTTTTTTTCTCAATTTTTTTCTGGACTCATTTTTTTCTGTTTGATGAAAAGTTTATGCTGTATCAAAACATCTATTTTGATTAAAACAAATATTAAATCTTTTTGGGGATATCAAACCAGGAAAGTGGAAGGATATCGTGTTTACTGAAAATGGTGCGGCCTAGTAAAAACAGCTAACAGAAAGTAGAAAAAAAGTAGTTTTGACTTCAGGGTTTCGTAACTTTTCATTCTTCGTGGCATGGCCCACTTTTTTCCCATTAAATCACAATTTCACATTACAACATACATGATATGTACATGAAAAACATTTTCTATGTAGCATTTTATTTTAATTTTTTTTTAAAGAACAGCTGTTTTGCACTGATGTACATGTAAGCCTATGGAGTAGTCCATTACAAGACTGCAACCGAGAATGAGTCAGTTGTATAAAGAGGAATAACTCTAGTTATATTCATCAGAACACAAATCACTGTTGAGCTACATGTAATAAAAATATGCTAATCATAGTCACATATATACAGCAACAGATCGTATATATATTTGATTAGATTCTCTCCTTACTTGAATTTTTTGTTTTATAAATAGTTAAAAATGAAATAATGAAATCTAATTGTTCGTTAGTCATCGTTCAAATTAGTTTATATTGGACAAAATGGGAAAACTATGGAAAAATTGTTCAAGAAATTTAAATTTGCTGTAGCATAAAGAGGACACGTGAACATAAAATGGATTTCATCTCCTACCATATTTAATGTGCAATGTTGACAGATCGATTCTTTCATATCTTGCGACTTTACAACGGATGGTTTGGTCATGCATGCATGTTAAACAGATGATACATAACTAAACTCTTTTACTTTCTGTCCCATTTATCCATCATCGAATATGAAACAATCGAGAAAAGGCTCGCTAACAAACTACGGCTGGAAATATCAACGTGCAACACAGCCGTTTAAAATCGAACATGACGGAAAAGATTACAATCTTTTATATTTCAATTACCATATAAATCATGACGAAACTATAAAATTTCCGATGGGCGTATCAAATGACACATTATGACGTTATGATGGAAAATGGAAAGGTTACGACGAATCATGAGGTTAGATTGCGATGGAACACGATGCTATATGTAACAATGAAATATGACTTATGTACGAGTGTATATGACTGGATTGAGATTTATCATATTTTCACGAAGGAAAAAAGGTCGCCGCTCTACCGAAGTGTCTCATATTCCCTTTTAGCCCGTATACATTAAATTTAAAAAAAAAACTATAATATGCAAATTTTTTAAAGACCTCTCTTTTTAAATATGAAAATAAGGAGATGTGGTGTGATAGCCAATAAGACAACTCTCAGTATCCACCAAAGTTCAAATGAAGTGAATGTTAGCAATTATAGGCAACTGTACGGCCTTCAACAATGAGATAAACCCATACCGTATAGTCGGCTATGAAAGACCCCGACATGAAAAATATGAAACAATTCAATTGAGAAAACTAACGGCCTTATTCCTAACAAAAACAATTTACGAAAAACAAATATGACCGACATGAACCAACTACAACCACGGAACTACAGGCTTCTGACTTTGGACAGGCACATAAAGAATTTGGCGGGGTTAAACATGTTTGTGAACGCAACCCCCCTAACCTGGGACAGTGGTGTAACAGTACAACACAATAACAAACTATAAAAATCAGTTGAAAAAGGCTTAACTCATCAGATCGATACAAAGCAGAAAAACATAAAACAAAAACACAGACCCGAAAATTTTGCTATTCTATATAATGTTTTAGAATGAGATGTGTATCTGAAATCGACATTGTGACATCTCTTTTTATATACTTCTTTGTGTGTATTTTTTTCTACAGATCATTAAAAAAGTTCAGCCAATTATTCTATAGTTACGCTTTTGCTAATGATGTGACTCTGCTGGTATACCGTTATTTTATCAAAAATGAAAAAGGAGTAGTGGCAATAAGGCCCATATTTGGCCCAAGTATTAGTGCAAATCAAAAAGTTACATTCATATTCTTAAATTTGTCCTAACTACACTAAGGTACAAGAAGTTCAGAAAATAGAAACAAATTTCACATTTCACGAGTTAACATTGCAACAACATGAATAAAATATGACAAAATTTGTTTATTTTGTAAAATTTGTTGATACTATTTGTTTTACTTAAAGCTTATTGATAGAGGAATAAACTGAGTATAAACGATATGTGCCGCAATGACCATTAGAGGGGTTACGGAGGACCTAAATGCCAAAATACGCGTGAAAATTAAGAAATAGCCAATTTTGAATAATGAAATGGATATTTTGAATAATGGAATGGACTGCTGCGACCCTTTAGCCCCTAATTATAGATATACCTTATACCTCATTCGAAAGCTTATTAAGAGAGAAACAAAAGTTATATAGTCAATATGTTCCACAACGCATATTAGAGGAGTAACGAAGGACCTAAATATCAAAATACGCGTGAACATTAAGAAATAGCTTATTTTGAATAATGGAATGGACTGCTGCAACCCGTCAGCCCCTAATCAAGGAAACATTTATACACCAAATTAAAGCCTATTGATAGAGGAATAAACTGAGTATAAACGATATGTGTCGCAATGACCATTAGAGGGGTTACGGAGGACCTAAATGACAAAATACGCGTGAAAATTAAGAAATTATACAGCCAATTTTGAATAATGAAATGGATATTTTGAATAATGGAATGGACTGCTGCGACCCTTTAGCCCCTAATTATAGATATACCTTATACCTCATTCGAAAGCTTATTAAGAGAGAAACAAAAGTTATATAGTCAATATGTTCCGCAACGCATATTAAAACATATTTAACCCCTCCACATTATTTATGTGCTGGTCCCCAAGTCAGGAGCCTGTAGTTTAGTGTTTGTCGTTGGTTCATGTCTGTCATATTTGTGTTTCGTAAATTGTTTTGTTATTAATTAGGCCGTTAGTTTTCTCAATTGAATTGTTTCATATTTTGCAAGTTGGCGCCTTTTATAGCCAACTAATAGCCGAATACACGGTATGGGTTTTTTTCTTTATTGAAGGCCATACGGTTGCCTATGCTTGCTTACATCAACTTTATTTGAACTTTGGTGGATAGTTGTCTTATTGGCAATCATACCACATCTTCTTATTTTTAAATTGGTATATGTTCATGTTAATATGATTTATTGTTCTACAAAGTGTGAAAAACCGTGAAAAAAGAAAGCAGGTATTCCTATTAGACAGTCAGGCTTGGGTACAATGTACTAGTGTGGATATTTAAACTAGGGAAAATGCTTAAAGGTAAATTATCACTTGAACATACTTGATAGACAAGACATCATATACCCGCAACAGGCAAAATAACAGCGAGGGACCATTGGTATACAATTACTCTCCTTTTAGCTTAGATAGAAGTAGGTTTGACAAAACACATTTCGACTTTTAGAGTAGCCTTTATTTTAAAAGAGAGGCGAAGGATACCAAAGGAAAATTCCAACTCATTAGTCGACAATAAACTGACAACGTCATAGCTCAAAAAGAAAAAGACCAAAAGACAAACAACAGTATACAAAACACAACATTGAAAACTAAAGACTGAGCAACACGAACCCCTTCAGAAACCAGGATTGATATTAGGTGCTTCGGAAGGGTAAGCAGATCCTGCTCCACATATGGCACCCGTCGCGTTGCTCATGTAAGTACAAACCCAGTGATAAGTCTAATTTGGTAGGTCACATTCGGGAAAAAGGAGGATGGGGTGGTGGTTACGACGATCCGTCGTCATCTGTGAAACAGATATTTCGTAACGGTGAACCAACTTGTGATGGCGTCCGCAAAATTTCGAAGGGATGATTTAAACTTCATCACTTTGTTTAATAGCTTCTTTGTGAGCAGAAACCCTCTACCAAGGAAATCATGATAGGAAAGGCAAGCCCTGAAATATGTCGTATCAACAAGGAGATATATACTCCATATGCATGTGCTGCTGTAATGTTGCTATATAGAAATGGAAAGTTCACAATTCGGAAACTGAAATCATCTCTTTTGTCGTAAAATTAAGTTTCCAGCCGACCCTCATGGTCAATTTCTAGATGTAAGTCAAGATATGAGGCTAAATTTGAATTTTAATGAGTGATATTTCTGATTTCTAAAGGTAAACCAAGTAATACATTTAATTTAAGAAATATGTTTGCATTTCCGTCAATGGGAGATTCTTTACTGAATTTATCTCAGCCTATAGTATTTCTTCATGAATGGAACTACAACCAGTTACTAGATTGTGGCTGATTTAATATCGCTTAAACATGCAATTTAATTCATGGTATACACAAGTAGCAACTACGTACAACTATTGGGTCACAAATATGATATTCTATAAACACGGACCGACAGAGATAAATGTAGTGGTATAACTGACATTAGACACAACTTAAATAATATTTAGCACTGTAAATGGCGCTTAATCATAGAAGAAAAAAAAAACTAGATAATTAAATAATCAACGGAGATTATTAAGCAACACTATATGAAAGGCAATGCATGATAAAGGACACAAATTAAAAAAATCACCATTTTTTGTAAACTCAGAGTGATTGTAAAGCAGTGCTGTACGGAGACGTGTCTATTGTTCAAGACTAGTATGTTGTTGTTTTGTTTCGTTGCTGTCGCATTAATGTATATACTTCATATTTATTTTTTAATCCAGAATTCTTTAATAACAAACTTTACAACATTTTCTTATGCATATGTCAAAACGATTCCTGGAATTTCATATTATTTCACCGACGAATAGATTGTTAAATGCTGTATAAGTTGCTGTCGTTATTAATTAACTGTCAAAGTACCAGTTACGTTACTATATTAGTTGCAATTTTTTGGTCACAAATATAATACTCGCTGTGTTGAAGACTCATTGGTGGCCTTGGGCTGTTTTCTGCATTTTGGTCGGGTTGTTGTTTCTTTGACACATTTCCCGTTTCCATTCTCAATTTAATCACAAATAATATTAACCATTGTAAATCTTGCATTTTTCATATAAACAATTTTACTTTACTTTATTATGATCAATGGAAATAATTTATCAACAATACATGAAAGACAAGGTATGATAGAAAACTAAAAATAAATAAAACATCTAATGACAAAAATAAAAGACAAATTACGAAACAGTTAAATAATTAACGCCACAAAAGCTTACGGATAGAAACTATCGTAGTCGTGTATTCAGATTTAATAAAAATATGTTAACGATCATGCCGTATAAATAATTGTGAAGTGCATATTAATAATAAATAAAACATCTAATGACAAAAATAAAAGACAAATTACGAAACAATTAAATGTTTAACGCCACAAAAGCTTGCGGATAGAAACTATCGTAGTCGTGTATACAAATTTAATAAAAATATGTAAACGATCATGCCGGATAAATAATTGTGAAGTGCATATTTATAATAAATAAAACATCTAATGACAAAAATGACAAAAATAAAAGACAACTCACGAAACAATTAAATGTTTAACGCCACAAAAGCTTGCGGATAGAAACTATCGTAGTCGTGTATTTAGAATTAATAAAAATATGTAAACGATCATGTCGTATAAATATTTGTGAAATGCATATTAATAATAAATAAAGCATCTAATGACAAAAATAAAAGACAAATCACGAACCAATTAAATGTTTAACGCCACAAAAGCTTGCGGATAGAAACTATCGTAGTCGTGTATTCAGATTTAATGAAAATATGTAAACGATCATTCCGTATAAATATTTGTGAAGTGCATATTAATAATAAAAAAAACATCTAATGACAAACATAAAAGACAAATCACGAAACAATTAAATGTTTAACGCCACAAAAGCTTGCGGATAGAAACTATCGTGGTCGTGTATTCAGATGTAATAAAAATATGTAAACGATCATGCCGTATAAATATTTGTGAAGTGCATAATAGACTTATATCAACACTCGATCATGAATATTCAAAGTTAAAATTAAAACAGAAGGCACGCTTAGGTCACCTTTTTGATCTTTGAATTCGATTAATAAAAAATATCTTATCTTACACGCTTTATGATATTCACAAGACTTTAGTCCCTCATATATCAGTAATTTATAATTTTTAATTTTGTCTAACAAATTTGTGTAAGTGGTTAAATAAATTCTTCTCTCATTTGACGAAAAACTGAAAAAAACCCAGATATTAGATAGCGAGTTCTTATGATTGCGATACTCACCCAGTCGCATTACTCGCGTTAATGAAAAACCTCGCAATAATTTCTGAAGTTACAGTTTATTCAATTTTGCAAAAACAACTATGTGTAACATGCTTATTGTTGGTCAGTTATATCACTGAATCTCAGCACTAAATTGTCAAAATTTTATCCTCTTATTCCTTTATCAATATAATAAACAATTGACGACATGTATTTTCAAATATTAATACCTAATGTTGACTGTTAATTTCAAATCTTCATGTTAAAATATCACAACGCTTTATAATCAACACACTTGCACGTATCACGAACGTGTTTGATTATATTCTTCTTGGTGTTTATAGAAGCTGTCAGTAAATACTGTAACCATATATTCATCACCAACTGAATAACATTTTCCCTTCCATAAGCATAGTGCGTTGTATATTCTGTCCTTTACTCTTTTCTGCTCATATCCACTGGTTATTTCTGCTATGATTTGATCTGCCTTGGAGCTTTGCCTAGATTTAACTAAATAATAAAAAGCCGTTGTCGACATATGTGAATACTCTTTTTTGTGGTGGTTTACAAAACATTATAACATAGAAAACGTAAATAACAACCACACGCCACACTAAGTGAGGAAGCTCGTATAATTATACCGCAAATCATTGAAAGTATACAGGTCATCCAACAAAACAAGCTTTTTTTCTGTTTTCTTAAAAAAATTAATATATTCAAAGTTTTGATGAGTGTAGGCCTTATTTTTTGATTCAAGGTAGCTGACAAGAAACAAAGCGTCACCAACCGACATGACTGATCAATATTTAGACGTATCTTTTCAAAAATGTGTACTTGTTTATGTCTTTGTTGTTTGATGTAAAGTGGCTATATTATACCGACTGACTCCAAACAAGTTTATACTTTTGAGCGGTTGCATTTGCATCACTGATTCTTATTTAAGTTGTTTAGGAAGATATTGGGTTTGTAGAATTCGTTCAGATGACAAGACAAATATATTTGATGTTTATCCATCTTTCATAAGGATTTTGGTCCTTCTTTCTGTCGCACAAATTTTGCATTATATATGTAGGACTCAAATCTATAGCGGGTTCAAAAACTATGGCAGATTCCTAATCTATGGCAATTGTGACGTTACAAACGTCAAACAAATCAAATCTATGGCAGATTTTTGTTTTCTCCAAATCTATGGCAGATCTTGAAATTGCGTAATTTTCCGGGAAAAAAGTAACATATAACGCCACAATTAAATAGCCTTATTTGAATTTTCAGTTCAGTATTTTTGTGATTTTACTTTTTACATCGTCGCCGCCGCAAACAATGGCGAAACCCATAAACTTGAACACCAATCCAGATGAAGGTATTTCCCTCTACAACAATTTGCGGATTGTTAAAAAGAAGATGTGACCTATTATCCGGAAGAGAGTGCTGTACCGGCCGAATCCCGATATGAATTAGCGCACCGCTGTTTTCACTACCGGATATTTTAGGAAAAGAGTTACATGCATAGTAAATATTTTACCGTCTACGGCTGAAAAAGTTTATAAGGTGAAAGATAAAACTACTGGATACCAATTTGATTTAAATCGTCATCAAATAAAAAAGATGTACTAAGGATGAAATAAATATTATGTATACCGGTACACTTACATAATGGAGAAGACTTCATAAGTATGATTTACTTGTGTCTAATCAATTTTGCTTTAATTCAGCAAATAAAATATGTTTAAACTTTAAATTAAATATTGTGTGAAAACTCAAACTGTTCATTTTTTTTTATTTAAAAAAAAACTGCCTTCTTGTTTGTTAAGGAACTCACTTGTTGGTTTAATGAATGGGTTAAAAACAGGTACCGTGCACAGATTAGAAAATGCTTATTTTACGTGGCACATCATTTCAACTTTGAAGTCTGTTTTATGTATTTGAAGTCTGTATTAAGGTATATGAATTCATCATTTACGAAATTTTTTGGTTGCCATCAGGATTTGGTTGATTATTATGGAATGTTTATTTCACATATGTTTATAGACATTTCCACTTCTTTAAGACAAGTCATTGATCGTATATGTTCTGCATTGTTTTCCATTTGCACAAATCTGCCATAGATTTGGAAACAACAAAAATCCGCCATAGATTAGGAAATGACAAAACTAGCCATAGATTAGGATTAAAGAAACTGCCATAGAATTGTGATGGCATGTCGTCATATTTACCATAGATTTGGAAACTGCTATAGATCTGGAACCCACCATAGATTTGAGTCCTACATATACAAAATGTACAAGCGTGAAATACTACCAGTATTTTTTTATAACTGAATACCACCATATTAAATCTTTTATAGACACTGTTCATTGAAATGTTTTAAACTAACATATTTAAAGTATTAATAACAACTTAATGTGTACGATTCATACTCACTGCATAATATCCTAATAAAGTGTTCCCAATGGTAAATTATCTCAGGTTTTGATGTGCACTCATGAAAAAGTCCTGTCCAATTATATTCACCTTCTGTTGAATTAAAGAACAATTGATTCGTTTAATGCATTTATACCATGCATACATTGAAATATTTATACGAATCTAATTGTATTAAGTAATAATACAATATATCCAATATGATATAATAGAACTATATATAATCGAAGCTTTGCCTTCCCTTGTACATTTAGAAACAAACAAATAAATGAAAATATATAGGAAAATGTATTTACCTTCAGTTGATCTGTAGGCTTGTATCCAGTCATTTTCATTCAATGTAATATCGTCGTCTATAGGTCTTCAATTACAAGATACAAACGTGTTATTTTCTAATATTTTACGTTTTACAATTTGGAAAATTGAAGTGATTGTTGATTTATTCAACAATGACGTCTGTACAAAAATTTATCATAACCGTTAAACTCTGCTCAAGTGTCTCTACCGATGACGAATTTCCAATATCATTAATAACTTTTTAACGTTGAAAATCTAAACGTCATATTACTGGTATCACAACCCCTATCTCCCACCCCCCCCCAAAAAAAAAAACACGAACATAAAAAAAAACACTCAACAAAAATTAAAAATGTTCTGGACCTTATGTTGATAAGTGTGTGTGTTTGTGACAATGCTTACCCATCGACGTAAGTCGAACTAGTACGCTCTGGATTTGTTTCTTTTTTAATTCTTCTTTTCCGAAAAATCCGTACAAACCAGAGGACAGTTAAAACAACGCATATTCCACCAATAATTGAACATGTTGTCAAAATGACGATTTCAGCGTCATTGTCTGTATTTATAAAAACTCCGTCATTTGCACTTTCTGAAAACAAAAGTAACACATTATGTAGCCTATTTTGTGAAAGATATAATTCGAAGCACCTGTTTGCAACTCCTTGTAAATTGTGTTCCGCTCTAATCTATAGAGACGAATAATCGAGATTAACACTCCCTACTAATTTCAAAATTTTTGTTTGCTTTAAAATCAGTACAATGTATTGTATAATTAAAATGTGTTATTCTACCTAGTAATCGTGATTGGTTGGTGGGTTTTTATCCATCCCCTCGGAAACACACACACAAACACACTTGGTATCTCAAACGTTTGTTTGGTGTTCTGCTTCTCACCTTAGATTGCTAAACCAACAGACTGCATTCATATTTACCTTCTATTTTGGAGCATACTGCGTCATGAGTTGTATTACAAGGGGAGATAAGATGGGTGCCATTCCGACAATCAACTGAGCACAATCTACAAGCTACGGTAGACGACGATTCTTTGAAATAACCTCTCCGACATTCCTGACAAACGGTGTCTGTAAAATGGGAAGCTGAAAGGGAATTTCCAAAAATGTGTTACTATGATAACATCAATATTTACAACTTAATTGAAAACTCGATTCATCAGAATCGTGACAAAGAAGCTTGGCTTTTTTGTATTTACATCTGAAATATCATACCTTTCTTTAGTACGAAAACACATTTCGCCCCTAATTGAATTATTATTACTGACGATTAAAAGTTCTAAGTATTATCCTTTACAGTTAGAAGTTTAGAAACCACAATTGTAATGAACAAGTCGTGTAAAGAAATAAGGCAAACGATGTGTAATATATCATGACACAAATTTCCTACTCCTTACACACAATTTACAATATGTAATCATGTGATTCCCTTTTTTTAGTCAGTTTCAACTTTACCTTGTTAAAAGCATGAATGTTTGTTTCATCGTTACTCACTTTAGTGATATGTTGCACTGGTAACATTATTTAGGTAAAATATTTGCAGTTGAAATGGATTCTTTCTTTACATTTGAAGGTGAGATGTTCTCTTTATTTTGATTCCCGAGGTAAAACATACATTTAGTAATTATTCTAAAAAGTTCAGCCTTAAACGAAAGAGGTGTTATGTCATTACGAAAGAAGACGATTAGTCAAAAGGACAAAATTGGATATATATTTATAGTTCGCGCTCAAAGCAAAGACGGGCGTGTCTGGGTATCACTGTCAACTTTAGAAGTACAATACGAAAAATGCTTGTTGTCATTTTGATTAATACTCCTGTATTTTCATGAGGATAAGTTTAAGGTCGAAATACATGCAAAACTCCTTAATATTTTGGCTGAGGAAAAACGACACACACGAGTTTTTATAAAGGGGTGAACATTAATCTATCATTTTAAAGTACATTCTTCTCCAGAGAAGTCACTTCATAAAAATTTTGTTACCCCTCACTATGGAAAAAACTGGATCCGCAACTAAGTAATTCTATATACACACAGACATAAAGTCAGGACAACATTAACTGATATGCTTCAATTTATTTGTAATTTCACAGCAAACTTCTGTAGGCCGCCTTAGTTACCTGCATTGGTTTGTGTCGAGCATGCATGTGGTTGATTTAGACCCAAGGTTGTATCGATATAAATATATATTTCATAAATAAACACTGATGTCAATGCGGTACTTGTATAAGCAACAAGCGACCACATGATATTTTTTGTTCCTAAATATTTATCCAATTGTAATTTTGTACGTGCGGGTCGCTTTAATCTATAGTGGATTAATGATAAATATTTTATCATTGTTGCAATTTATGTTATACCAAAGTGTGATAATCTAACATATCAATCGAACATGTCATAAAAATTGAAATTAATCCTAAAATGTATGTTTATATTATATTTTGGAGAAAGATAAATCAGACCAATATTAAGTTTTAATGATATTAGTGAAAACGGTCCGTATTCCTCCGACATAATAAAATGACCGATACTGTTCAAACACTGGTTGATAACTAACTGTGTACTGTTATTAATACAAAAACTTGTTTTAACAGATATGTAAACTGAATAATGCCTTTCAAAGGTGTTGTCTAGAAAATGTCAATTACTTTAAACATCTTGAAATCGATATGAATCGATTTATTTGTCATATCAATTGTGTACAAAGACGAGTGACATTAACACTTTACTTGTTATTACTGATCGTTGCTCCCTATTTTTGGTATTTGGCGAATTAGTAACTGTTACAGTTTAGTTGCTTTGTTGATAAATCAAAATATATTGAATTGTTCAAGATGTAAGGAGATGACACCGTTGAAATGGTTCCTTTTATTAGTTATAATCTAACTACTGTATTTTTATTACCAAATTATCACTTTTTGTGTTTGTGTACCATTTTAATATATTTACAATCGTAAAATAACAGTAAAATTTCTAATCAAATAGTTAAATACACTATCTTTATAAGCATAACATTAGCAGCTAGTCCCAAGCCCTTGTGAAGCACAAGATCAATACAATTGAAAAAGTCAAAATAACGTTAGTTCAGGCATATCCATGATTCATTCCTTATACGTTAATAACTGATTTGATTAAAAAAACTGATAATACAGTTAGCACGTTAGCCTAATATGTCGGTAAACTCAATTATTTGCATAAGCTACTCCAGATAAGTTTCCTAATTATGATAAAAAAATAATTGCTTTCCGTGTGTTATTCTGATGGTCCTGGTAGAAATAGAGAATATTTGTTCATCGTTATACATATAATCATGAACTTTGGATAGTTGCCTCCCTTTTCTATAATCTACATGACTTGTTTTATGTTATTGCAATGAAACCCTGCCTTTAATTAAAACACGGATAGTCTCACCTTACATACACGTATATTAGTCTCAATATAGGATATTTTGAATATAAAATTAACGATGGGCTGCATAGTTATGAAATATAATTTATGAAGTTTATTGATAAATATGTAATATTGAATTTTCTCAGAGTTTAAGTCCTATATGATATCAAGTTGTTATCGTACAGAAATCACAATCTGAACCTTAAATTGATAAAGAAGAACGTGATGATGGAAAATGTGTGTTTGATTAATTTGCTAATAAATTTAAAGTTTTGGATATTCTTTCACCATAACATTTTATCATTATAAATAAGGCCTCTGGATTTACATTGTTTATCACATGTAATGGACTTTACGGACGGCCATCAGGTTTCTTGACCCAAATTGTTTTAAAATTAATTTTCTACACTACATTTACCTAAACCTTTATAAGAAATTATACTTACCTCATGATTTCGCTGCAGCAAGAGATATGAGTTTTAATTTATTGCAAAGCAGTAAAACGAGTGAAGTTAATATGCCATTCTAATGACTATTTAGAAAATTACGACATTGCTGCTTCTATTGTTCCGATTGTAACATCTCATCTTTAACTGTATTACTTATTATTTATTTACAGTCGAAAGTCTAAATACATTTATCTTATAAGCTGTCAGTATGTGATTTCCATTTTAGAAATAAAGGACTAATGTATGAACAGCGTGATACTACAGCATGTTCACACAGGAACGTTGAACAAGCGTATAATGTTCACATAGTGTAGTCCTTGATGTTTTGGTTTTACACTTTTTCTTTAATATTGCACGAGTTATACACAATATTTTCTGCCATACTACTTAAGACTTGCTATAATACATGAAAAAAATTGTAAAAAAAAAATTACACTCGACGCCGCAAGATCATTGCATAGTTAATGACAGGTGTTTTCAAGATGACGTCAGGGAACAACGTTCACATCCAAGTCATAAGAAAAACAAATAGATTCTACACATACAGTTTTCCTTCCGTTATGTCCTTGTGTAGCGTTGTGATCTTGTGTATATGCTAATTTTTACAACAGTAAATCACCGATGTTCAAATCTAATAAATCAATTAAGAAAAAAAATCGAGGTAAAAAATAATACCTGATGAAATCGCATGAACTCTAAAGGGAGCGAGACAATGTAATCGTATATTGCTTTGTATGCATCCACGATATGCGTATCCACACCCAATCAAAATGTCACAATCGGAAAAAGTACACATTTTAAATTATACGACTTTCCGGGTTTCTTAAGCTGTGGTCACACCTTTCCAGATAGCTCGAACGGACGCCGAACGGATGAAAAAAAGTTTTCCGTTGACAAAATTTTTATCCGTTGGGATTCCGTTGGTGTACTGACCAAATAAAACAGGACGCGTAACGAATGACCAACGGACACACACAGGATATGCAACGTACGAGAAACGGAAACGTACCGGAAAGAACGAATGTCGAACGTACATCCAACGGACGAGTACCGCATAAAACGGACACCTAACGGAAGCGTACCGGATAAAACGGATGAACAAGATAAGCGGAAAATTAAAGGCGGCAATAATAATACTCGGTCATGAGTTGGTCATATACACCAAAAATGCGTCGTCTTTCAGGACTAAGCCATGATCTTGTCCACAATCTCCTTTGTCTTCTCCTTTCGACAGGTAGTAGGTTTATATTTGCCATATTGTTTAAGTTCAGTCTAGCCTGAATAAGACCTGCTTGATAGTGAAGACGTGCTCTTACTCCAAGATCCATCACGAATAATAAACATATATGACACTCAAGAAATCTGACATACCAATAATTGGCATTTCTGACGCGACATTTTCAATTGGCATTTATCCGTTTTACATTCGGTACGTATCCGTTTTATCAGTTATCCTTCTGTTTATGTCCGTTTCACATCCGTTCATCATCCGTTTTATCCGTTATACGTCCGGTAGAAGTCCGTTGGTGAATTGGTCTACCGGACCTCCAACGGATGTATAACGGACAAGTAACGGATACAAAACGGAAACGGAACGCGAGTACCGTAAAAAACGGACACCTACCGGACGTTCAACGGACACTTCATCCGTTGGACGTCCGTTCAAAGTTTTGAACATGCTCAAAATTTTCCATCGAACAGAACGGACGTCGACGGATAAAACGGACGCTGAACGGACATGAAACGGATATGGACAGACGTCTAACGGATAAGAACGGACGTCTAACAGACATGAACGGATTGAAAAAAAGTTATCCGTTCGACGTCCGTTCGCGCTATCCGGAAAGATGTGACCGGAACTTTAAGATCTAAGACTGCGAAAAAGGGTCCCGAATCAGTTGAGACACAGACATATCGTACCGGCCAATCAATTCGTAATGGTTACAATTAAATTTATGTAGTACCAATTTTAGTCGTTCTTCCTTATAACTCTGTTGGAACATTTTTATTGCGAGAAGCACACTCCTGCTAATCAAATCCGTATAGTGCTTTTTATAAATAGCCGTGTCCATCCCAGCAAAATAAACAATATTTATTCAGATAAATATCGTTAGGTGATGATTTATCTGAATAAGTATTATTTAAACTAACTAAACTAAATAGCTGTCCATAAACCAATCCCAGCTAAACATACTAATAACTTTGTCCATAGGTGAACCATATTTTGTGTTCGTAAATAATTTCTCTTTACAGACTTGTAAAGCCTAGCTGTGTATACTATATACATATATTTTGTAATTATTTCTACATATTCTATTGGTACTTGATTTGACTTTTCATAAGTAATATAGTTAGAAAGTTTTGTATGGATGACAACTGAAAATAAATTTGTTTACTGCTCTGCATTTGAAGGTCAATAAGCATATATTAGGTGCTACACACTCGGAGGATTTAAAGATTTTCGTTTGGTACATGTATATTGAGTCAAAATGAGGTTTAACTTGAAGTAAATCAAGTTAAATCACAGATTCAATCTTTAACCTTAAAGTTGAATTTGATTTCAATTTGCATTGAGTGACAGTGTATTATGACAGAAATGTGTAACTAAGAGTTAAATATAAATTAAAATCACAGTAAACAGCTTAATGTGTGGAATAACGTTGACTTTAATTTGTAGTAAATCATGGTTTACAGATATTGTTAAATTTAAAAAATACTGGACAGTAAATTAGGTTTCGATTCATGAACTTTCTGTGTCCAGTAAACTATTCATACACTACTTTTAAACATTCAGTTTACGTAAACTATACACTACAAGTAAAGACATACACCCGGAAATTACGAGTAATTTTCAAGTAGTTTAATGATACCTTAAATAAGTACTTTCATGCAGTGTTGTAAACCTGTTATCGAAGACTATCGATGAAAACATAGTACAATCAAAGGATCGCATTGTTTATTCACCGCAACCTTAACAATAAAATAGTGAAAAGAAACACATATTTTGTTCTATAAAGTATATATACCTGGATGAATTACTTCATAACCTGGATCACAAACAGAAATGGTCTTGCACATCCACTCGTTGGCACTACCATACACCTTTTTTAAATAATATCCGTCTTGGCATGCGCATTTTGTATTTGTGACAGCTGTACAGTCCATTAACGTTCTGGCTAACTGATAATTTTTCACTATATTCTCACATACAGAACACTGTTCACATCGGTGGGCTATGTTCAAAGTCGATTGAAATGATCCTGACGAGCACGGTAAACATTTTGCATCTGACAAATTATCCTAAAAATATATCAAACTTTTCTCTACTTTAAATACAAAGATTTGGAATTGCATTGGAAATGAAAGTATATACCCATAAAATGAGTAAATTTTAAGATTAACTTTCTTGTTTTCCGAGTTCTTTTTTTCTTCTTCCCAAACGGGGAAATTCCCATTAAAAGTTATTGATACAAATCTATTCCGACTTATAAAAATAAATCTTGTTATTATTAAGTTAATATTGAATAACTGAATTCCAAAAATCTTTACATATAATGATCTCATCACAAGATACATTGTTTTGCCGTTCACGGTCAAAATATCACCTTCAGGAACAGGACACAGTTGGTAAAATTACAGAATAGACGACTATCATGGTATCCAAACATCTAAAATTGCGAAAACATGGCGATAGTGAGTTTAAACACAGACATATCGTATTGGTCAACTGATGGTGACCGTAAAACGTATGTATGTGGATTTCAGTCGTTTTACTCGTAACTCTGTTTGAGCAGATTTTGCGTATGGAGCTAATCCCTGCTCATGATGTCTGTATAGTGTGAGCGTTACGTTTGAAATGAGACATGTAAACGCCGTAAGGTGAAACAGATGCTGTGTCACTGCTTAGAAATGGGAAAAGGTATACGACAAGGTTTATCTATGCCTGATTGTAAAAACTTAATTGTTCCGACTAATTCAAAATTGTATAAACAGACAATTCCCAAAACAGAATGGTTCATTGATACCTGATGTCAATACAGAAAAATGCTTACCGACGCCATTGAACCCTTGTCATAGAATACTAATGTTATACTGCAGATAAACAAATTAATTCATTTCATATTGATATGACTATAATTCAAAAGCAACAAAAATGAGAAGAAATGTCCAGTCATCTTACTGAATTAAGAAATTTAATTCAAGAACGACCTAATATAAAATACTCGTTCATATCATTTAAATGAGTGTCATATATTTTTAGTTAAATATAAAACATGTATTTAAATTACGCAGATAATATGTGTTTTGATATATTCCGTAAAATACTGAAATGTCATGAATTAGAAGTTGCTTCTTTCGTTACATTGATTAAAAATACATTGAAGAATGTATTTTTAGTGATAAAATAAATGAGTTATCATATAAACATTTTTGTTGTACCTATGGAAATCTACCTTCAATGACATAATAATATGAAACGAATATAAAATAACAAATGGATAATTACAATGTGCTATGAAATACCCAAAATGTCCTACATGCACAACGTTATTATTGTTTTTCTATCCCAATGGTGTCTAGCTTACTTGTCTTACATGTACTAACTTACTTTACAATCAGCAATCCAGTATGTTCCTGGGCTACACCTATTGCAGAATTTGTTGTCCGCTGAATAATAATATTCTGTTACTAAATGTCTAGCTTCAGTTGAAACAAAATGGACAATGAACCATGTCAACTTGAAGACTACATGTAGTGTTAACATGTTATATCAGACAAACATTGGTTAATGCAAATAAATTAATAAGCATGTTCTCTCAAACACAATCATCATGGAAATAACCCTTTCTTAAAATAGATGCAGGACTGTGCATGCGCATTTGAAACGGGTGCGGTAAATATTGATTGTAAACATAGATACGTCTATATATATATATATACATATATATAAACGTAGTGCATGCAGTACACATATGTGAATTGTATGGAATTTATATTTCAGTATCACGTGTTCCCAGAGACGTGTGCAGGGCATGTCGTATTCATAATCTGTCAATGCAAACAATTATCCCTTCATTTGATTTAAAGAAAGTTACAAACAATTTAGATAATGTATTAAATACCTATCACTTGAATAAGGATTGATCATCTCAACACAATAACCTCTGCGATTTACCAAGGTTTGAGATATTTAATTTACGTAGTATGTTATCTGATTATCGAGATAAGTGTCATCAATTCTTTAACGTTTAACAGGTGGTTAGATATGTTTAAATATTTTTCGTTAAATGAATTCTATAAGTTCACACTGACAAAGCATTTTTTGTATATACAATTTTTCTTTTTTGTTATATCATTATGTACAAACACACTTGTTTAAACAGATTTCTATTATTGAATTATCAAGCGAGTCCTGAACATACTGAAGCAATTAACGGGATAGGTGTGACTCTATATTCAATTTCAATGTTACCTGACTGATCTATCTATTAATAAAATAACATTATATGTATATACAAGTGGAATATTAATGCAGTTTATGTAGATACATTTTACGGCAAAACGTTATCACTTACGTTCGTCCTAGACGGGATATCAACAACCCAGTAGCCATCACGTGAACGTAGGTGCTGACATAAGATATCAGTAATGCAATCATTTTCTATAAACTCTCATAGTTTATTAAATGTTACAATAATTAAAAACAGTGAAGTTTTTCTACCGTAGACATAGCAACATTTTGCTCATATGTGTTTATTTTTGTTTCGTTTAAACGCCGTTCAGCGTCGTTAACGATTGGCCGTTAAACAGTTTTGATTCAACGCTACAGCTTATTGTCATGTAGAAGAACAAACGTTGCAGGTCTGGTATCGTGGGTGAAATTTAGAACCTATGGGCCGATTCCACTGCTGAAAAATGCTTCGTCCCTGAGGGTATCACTAGTCCATGAGTCCTCACTTCTCTACTGACATGAAATATCATTGTTCCGATCAATCTGTTAATATATATTTTTCAATCGTTCAAAACAATAAGGTTTTGTACCACATGCATAGACAGTCTTAGAAAGATTTGAACAATTGGTTTGGAATTTTTGGTTTTCAGAGCTCTTCATAGTCGTTTTTTTTAATTTATCTTTGAAGAGTTTTTGTCGATGCGCCACTGATGACTTTTATGAACACACATGTGATATCCTTGATGAATTATACTACATTGGCGCGAACATTCAACGGTTGTGTTATAGGTATTGGAAATCAGGTTATACTAGGTATTTCTAGTATAAGAATTAAAAAAATACTGTCCTCATTTTTCATAACTTTAACTTTTTAAAGTCATATGCAACTTTCAATTTAAAAAAAAAATTGAATATGTTTTATATACTTGAATTGTTTTACGAGAAAACAAGTGTACGCGAACTTTATTGTGAATATCCTTTACAATATTGAAAACTTCATAAATGTACTGCTATTGAATTATTGTCTTTCTGAACACATATTCGCCGATATTTTTCCCGTATGCAGTGACCTTAACCACGAGACCTCTCGTTAGAACTTCGGCCGCCTCACAGCACAAGTGTGCGGGGGAAAACTGTACTTGAAGAATGTAAACCAACGTGCACTGGAAGGTAAATAGTAATAACTGGTTCTAAAAGAACACATTTAATACAACACATCATTTAACAACTGGTGAGGAAAGGTTTAATTAACAAATGGGAACGCATGGAAAATATGCAACATATATATCATAGCTGTATCACTTTACTTAGTTGTCGCGAGCTCCACGTGCTCTGTGTTGATTATTTTTCAATGTCACCAACCGGTAAAACTTTGCAAAAACTCAAAAGTTAACTAGCTTGCGATCAACAATGACTGAATGAAATATTATTTGTTGATAATACTTTATAGACGCGTAATGAATATAAAAAAAAACGTGCATGTAGGACTTAGTTTAGTGTTTATGCATGCATTGGTTAAATATTTCGATAACATTAAGATACTAAGAAATTCGTTTCAAATGACTTTAACTGGTAAAAGTACATAGCATACTAAATTATATATTTTATTTCACAAAAAGGAATAAGTAAACAACAAACAGCCTTGGAAACATACAGATTTGATAGAATACAATAATTATAAGAATTGGAAACTAATATACAAGATTTTTCTATTAAATTTCACCAATATAGTAAAACGCAGGTAACTTGTCTGATGGTAACCACGGGAATATATATTTCACAAGCAGAAATAATTAAACAGTGGTAGTAAATAACGAGCAAATAATTTCCGTGTGGATAACGGTTAATGGTAACCATCATTTGGTATGATCGTGACTATATCGTTAGAGAACAAACTTAAACGTTTTCCAGAGTAAAAATAAAATGCCTAAGGAAGCTGCAACATAGTTACACGTGTCGTTGTGGGTACTGTTGCATTGAAAGATGCCCCGATCTACTTTTGTTGAAGATTTCCTAATTAAAAAATTCATCCAATACACAAGGCTTTGATGTATACTTTTTATACACTGGAGTCTACATACGTGGAAACAAGGGGGTAAACACACCAAAACAATACATTATCACCTTCCGTTTAACTTTTTTGTTTCGAGTGTCTTTTGTAGACGAAACGCTCGGCTGGCATACGATTTTTAAGTCTGGTATCTATGAGTTTATTTATATGGCTCCACTGAAATATATATATTTTTAACTGCTATTTAAAAGAGAAAGACATTTCTCGAATATATAATTTATGTTAATGTTTTTCCATACTCACATTATTTAGAATTTATTTAGAGTAATTAACAGTAAAGTAGCTAAAACATTTTATTGTCGAAAAGAATTCTAAACTATGACGAAGTTGATACATTTATGTCAAATACAAAAACTTAAATAATATACACGAATATATATATATCATATTTCTTACAAATTTATCATATCCGAAATAAAAAGTCTAATTCAAATTTATCTATAGTTGAATACCATTCAAAAGCTTCGTGAATGTAACAACGGTAAAAGTATCTGAATAAAAGCTTACAATTCCAAAAAGAATCAAACTAGTAAATAAAGGCAACAGTAGAATACCGCTGTTCGAAATTCATAAATCGATTGAGAAAAAAAAACGAATCCGGGTTACAAAAAAAAAACTAAGGGAAACACATTAAATGTAAGAGGAGAACTACGACACAACAGAAACACAACATTAAAATGTAACACACACAGAAACGAACTATAATATAACAATGGCCATTTTCCTGACTTGGTAAGGACATTTTAAGAAAAAATGGTGGGTTGAACCTGGTTTAAAATTGTTAAGAATCAAACTAGTTTAAATATTTGATAAAACAGTATTGTTATGAGATTGTAATTATTATGATTATTTATCTTGGGCCTATTTTGTTTTATGTGTCCTTATAATATGTTTACATAATTGGGTTGTGACCTATTTATAGTTGTTTACAAAATTATGTTATAATTATGCAGTTTAGAAATCACTGGAGCAATCGTAGATACTGATGGAATGATTAGAACTTTCTATTTGACTTGCATAATATTTCCAGAATGATCATAGTCTACGATGCGTGATTTAAACTTCACAATGTTCTGAAAGTTTCTCTTCTACAGTTTTCTAGAAGTTTCCGTGGTATATATACAGACACCAAAGTTAGATATATACAGACATATACAGAAACATACAAGTATTCTAAGAAGATATCTGGAGTTGTTGGATTGACACTTTTATGTACGTCAACAACATCATACTAGTTTGTGAACTTATTGGACAAATAAATATTTCGTTGGTTTCCGTTACAGTTAAGAGAAGAAATCCGGCAAAAAAAGACTATAGTATAGGAAATTCAGATATTTAACAGTTTAGTTGACATTTCTATTTGTATTTGGTTTCCTGTAAAATTTTATTATTGATTTTTGTCTTTTGTTGGCTACAATTTAAAGGTGATTTCTGGCCGTAAATGTATAACAAAATAGGGGGAGGGTTGCGATCTCTAAAAACTAAGTCAGGAATTTCGTCAGTAGTCATCGGTGTCATGTCTTTTTTATATTTAAAGAAGTGGACATTTATGGCCGATGTTTGATTGTTTCTGTTAAATTATAAGGTTTTATAGATGATGGACGATTAGGAGCTCGAATTTTTGTGTGGATACGTGTTTTTTATTACTTTTGTTCATAATGATTGTATATTTTGCAATGACTAACATTTGATTGATGTCTAACAAGTATGCGTAATGAGTCGAATTTCATATTTATTATTGTCCATTGCTTATGAGCAATAATTGCATCAACAACATGTTCCATTTGATTGAGTATGAAAACAACTCATGTGGAATATACTTTATTTTGGGTTTTTATCCGAATGAAACAAATAACAACATACATCATTAAGGTAACATGCAGTTTTCAACACAGTATCTATAATACTTGTACATTTTGGCAAGTTCTACATAGACCAAAGTCTAAAAGGTTGTAAATAAATTAAACAGAAACTAATGAAATATCTGTCAGAAACTCCAAATTTTCAATAAAACAAAAATAGCAACTAAACATAAAGATATGTCTTCAGACAACCACTGACAAAGTTCTGGTTTTGGACAGTCATATAAATATGTGGACGTTTTTGTTTTAGATCACTCGAAAAAAGAACATGGACTATAAATCAGTACAGGAAAATCATATAACGCATAAAATAATGGTATAATAGATACAAAACAAAAATGTTTAAAAAAAATCAGCACTATATATTGTATCATTGACTGATTGCAGTTTCTAAGGCAATAACAACGTACTGAACCTGCTCATATAAAATCGTGTCGTCCTCTTATATCGGCTGATGTACTAATATCGTACAACAACGTCATGAATAGTAATAAATACATGATTTTGTGGAATGCTCAGAACAAAATGTAAACAATTTGATTGCAGAAAATCATCAGACAACCATTAATACTGCAGTCATAGTACCCACTTCTTGTTTTTGAAAACTAACTAATTTAACAAACTAAAAATTAATTCTGAAAATTAAAACAAACATATCAACTTAACAAATAAACAAACAACCAAACACCAAATTAGCAACAAAAAACATCTCGTTAGAATAACAAAATCGTACATTTATATCTGTTACGGCTTATAAATGATGTATATATTGAAATAACATAATTATTCAATGTTATTTAAAAATTGCTTACGTTTTCGTCATTGTCTGTTTTCATTCTAGTTTGTTGATGCCACAACTATTAAATATATAATAAAACAGCAGACATCTGAAAAAAATTGCGTCAATATCCGTTTAAAATGATTTTTTTAAAAGGAGCAAAATCGACAGAAAAGGGATGAAAAACTTTATCATACATTATTGGGTATCAAATGACAACTGAAGCTTACATGTGCATTTACTTTAAGTGTATATATTTTCAGAATTGCAAAAACATAATTCTAATACCTGTAGATGTACGCTGTTTTTTTTTTTAATTTACATACAATATGCAAAACAAATAACGATTTGGAGTCTATATAGATAATTTCTCTAACAAGTAAAATGGGACACATTTTTATCCAGTTAAGTATAAAAAAATCTCCTTCTAAGAACTTAAACTCTGCTTCTTTTGATTTTAATTTCCTCTTACCGTTTACTTCTAAAAGTGATGACAATTGTGAATTAATTACAAGCTATTTGACGATGAAATATCCTATAAATACATGCTAGTGGTTATTTAGTGAAATCATTATGGATACCAGGCTTTAAGTCTAACGTAAATGTTGATTGAAATAATTTATTCATTGAATTGTCTTTTCATGAAATATAATCATAATGTAGCTGGGTCGCCATGTTTAACTGTATTAATATTTAGGAAAAGATCAAAAACAGTAAGAAAATACCAAGATGCCAAAAAAAAAATATATAAAAGGTAAAGAAAGACAAACAACACCATGGTAAATAAAGGCAAACACCTGTTATATAATACAATACATTCCAACCACGAGCGAGAAAATATACCAGGATGGTCTCAGGGTATCTTGATTGGTGAGGTACATCGATTAGTGCTATTAATTTTGAAATTTTATATGTTTTGTATAACAATAGAGTCACCATTAAAAATCACAATAACGTTGGATTATACCAAACTATAAATTATTTCCTTTACTGAAAGTGTCCAAATTTGCATTTCTGAATTAATTGCATACCATCGAAAGATTGGGTTATAAAAACGAAGTAAAATAAATTCGAACTTTTAATCATCACGAAACTGGTGTCTGTCTTTCTTCGAATTGACGTTTTTGAATGACCTTTGACACATGTGTTTTATACATAAGTCATCATTGAATATATTGTACGTAAACATTAAAGATTGACTTGATAAAAACGTTTTTTATAATTCATTTATACAGCGCATTCAGTTAAGTTAGTCTGTTCGACAATTAGCTATATACATCAATAATCCATTTATAATGGAGACGAACATATCCTATCGATGCCTTTGAATACAATTCAACTTTTGAAGCTTAATATGTTACAGGAATACACTTTTTGCTTCATTAAATTGCCACTGGACACATTTTATGCTTATTTACTGCATCACATAGAATGTTAAACATTTCCACATCGTTGTCGTTGCTGAAGCAGTGTGTCCATTTTATAAGTGCGTAATAAAGTCGTGAATGATATTGATCCTGCTCGTGTGAAACTTTGGCTTCATTTACAGCTTGCTGTCCGTTTTCCGCCTTTTCTGAAAGAGCTGTTGGAAGACATTTACAAAAATATTATAACATGTATAACATCATAAAAAGATAATAAATATGATATGGTTTTACTCGTCCAACGGTCGAATTTTGGTAATTGATTGAAATGAAAACAAGTATCGATGTAACGTAATACAAGAAGGTGTGGTATGATTTTTAATCAGACAACTTTCCATAAAAGACAAAATGTCGTAGAAGTTAACACGTATAGGTCACCGCATGACCTTGAGCACTCACGGTTTGCTTTATGTACAAAGAATAAACAAAACAAAAAACATTTATATACAGCAACACACGTTCGTTGATTACCTTTAGATCGGATACGCATAATAATGTTTTTATTTTCATATTTATTTGTGACTTGTTATATGATAGATCACTATTTTTTATATGAATAAAAGGAATGTGAAAAATTCATCAATGAGACAGGAACCCAACAAAAAACAATAATATACAGTATCTCACAAATGCAATCTCTAAGTCTGAAATAGTTTACAGTATCAATATTACACAAATGACAGTGCCGATTCATTGCAAAATAGGACTTTTTTCTATTTAAATTTTCTATATTCTAAAATGTTGTCTTATCTTTGCTATAAATATTCTTGTGTTAATCTCTACTTACTAAACAAAGTTCTAATGAAATCTTCCCAGTCAGGAAGAACGTCAATTTTATGCTGGAACAAATTGAGGAATTTCTGCCAATTTATCCTGACGTCATCTAAAGATAAATTGAATTTCAAATATTCGAAACTTGCAGGATTTTGGTTTGTAAACCATACATTCTTTAAAACAGGCAAAAGCAACGAGTCATTCCTAAGTGTTGTAAATTCAATAAATGAAAGACCAGATAATTTAGAATTGAAAAATACCTGAGCTTGCACAAATTGGATTTATCTATCTTTATTCATAAATCCAAATTGAACAAAAGTTATTATGTATGTCGATAAATTGCAAATTCAATAAGCCGTTATCACAAAGCGATCATGTGAAAATCGTTGTTTTATTTATAGTTATAGCACAGGCAAATAATTCAATTATAATCGATTATAATATATGTTTATAATTTCAATACAAATTATTTCGTAAGTGTTAACTTTCATTTCTGGGTGACCTCTATTGGCGAAAATACATAATAATATCCATTAAAATGATTGTAGCATTTTGATCGCTATACAAATGCGTAACATAAATAACGTGTTTGTGTCGTCCCTATTTACAATGATATATTCAAATCATAAATGAGATTAGTAAGAAGCAAAACTTACACGAATATTGGAAAATAACAATGTATCAACAATATGGCTTGTATACGTTTTCACTGGATGAACCAAATAATGTCACGTGTATTCCTAAACTGAAGATAGATTTGAAAAGACCGCTGGTTACTAGTGAGTTTTGTTAGATACGAATAAATATGTTCTATTTCAGGCCTTCTATAGTGTATAATAATCATGATAATAGATTGGGATTTTTTTACTTTAATTTTTTCAAGTTTTAGCCTTGCATTTCTGCAACTTATTAGGTTTTCGTCTTCTTTAAATCGTTACCTTGTAAACTATCTCTCATCAATTCATTTAACAACGGTGTCAAATTTGTCCTGAAGAAAAAAGGGAATACAGATTAGTTGAATTGATGGTATATATTTCATGTAGTGTTTTCTAAACTTGTCTTTGTATTCATACTTTCGATTTTTTGCCTTGGCGTTGTAAGTTTACCTTCAACATCTGAGTTTATATCAGTTTTGAATACCCACTTGGAATCTTTCACCTCTTTTTATACAATATAATTTCGTAGCAAAAACTAAAAAAAAAAAAATGAATGTCTTATTTCTTATTTTGCCTGTTGAATGCATAATCATCCTATCAATGTCTTTCATAAGAGTTCGAAGTACAGTCAAATTTGTATGTTATAGGATTTTTCTTTATTTTTCGATGTATCAAAAAGCAATACAAATGAACATATTTATGTTCTGTTCTAATATTAAAGAAAGAAACGATCGCAATCAAATGTAGATTTTTACCGTGTTATGTATACTAGATTTATAAGGAAGAATTAAGGATGTACACTTACCTAATCGAAACACTTCTATGACTGGCACTGTTAAAGGAGAAGAAAAAAACAACACAGTATTTTATTTCCTAATGTGAACGTAATATGATATACCATTTTCTGTCAGACTGTTGTTGTTCATAATAAATATGGAAGTACGAATAAACGAAGATGCAGAATATGGAAAATAATTCACTTAATCAATTTGGATCGTTCGCAGCCCTCTTCTGAATTTAATTTCAGCATCGGGTGCGCTCAGAATCAAATATTTAATATTGATGCTTAAGTACCTTAAAACGTGAAGAGCTGAATGACATAAAGTATGTAAAAAATTGATTATCCATTTTTGCCTGAACCTTAGGTTAAAAAAATAGTAAATGTATTAACGAAGAACATAAAAATGATTTGTTGAAAATCAGTACAGAGTCTATGACTACCGAACTGATGATATTATTGGGGACTCACATGAAGGCAATAAATGAAAGGAAATGAATCGCAGAGGTATAAGGATATACATATAACAGAAACTATCTGGTATAAAAGGGTTTTGATCTCCATTACTAACTTATTCGTAAATGATATGGTCAGAAATGGATATTGACCAAAGGCAACTTCTGACGAAGTCTTTGCTATAAGACCGTTTATTGACCTCTAAAGTACTATTTATCTTTTTACAGTTTGATTGCTGTCTCATTGACGTAATTCGCCTATCAAAAATATGTCTAAAAATTTCACTTTAAGAAATTCATAATTGTTTTGGACATAACAACTAAAATGTTACAAAGAACATGTTGTATCTACTTTATATAATAGAATGAGATGCTGACTTTAAATAATGATTTTCTGGAAACAAAATATATATATATTATGGCATTACTTTATTCTAGATATGTTAAATACATGAAAAACTGTATTTGTGTGTCCGACCGTACAAATACTTATATGATGTATCCTTAATCATAACACCTATTACAAATTTCTCTGATAAAACATATTTTCCACAAAAAATCTCTTTGCTCAAGTACTACTATTCCATACAGAATAAAACAGGTGTTTTTGGAATGTGAATAAAAGGTGTCACGGGATACACATTACTAAGACAAAGTAACAAAACAAAATAATGAAACCAAAACATACAGCAGTGATACACAAAAAATATTTAGACCAACAAACTGAAAAATGATAAGAGGATGAGGGTCATTTGACCGATCAATAAATTGTAGTACAAATCAAAATCTGAATATCTCCTACTAAGAGTTTGCCTCAAACTACACCGTGTTACGTTCATAGAGTAGCCTTATTTGTTCGTTTCTGTCTACTAACGAATTTTGTGGAATGAAATATTAGTTTTCATTTTGGTCATATTATGCTAGGTCATTCTTAAGCTAACTTATTTGTACTGCGTCCATGGTATTATTTTAAGGATACATACAGTAACATATTAGTATTTGTTCTTCTTTTCACACACATATATATACATGTAATGATGAGCATAGCAAATAGTGCTCCTCCACATCCCACAGCAATGATGCCAGTCGTACTAAATGTTATATTTATATTCACTTTAACAGGAACGCCTGAATCTGAAAAAAAAACCGATAATAAGTATAATAGGTATGCATGAGACCAGCATTAAAATTGTGTGTCTTCAATTTTCAATTTTTATGTTACAACATGGAAGTAGCATTTTCATATCGAGTACGTTCCTTATAATTGATATAATATTCAAGGTTTGAAATTCCTGTTAAATGGAAGAATTCTTGGGGACACCTTGCTACATGATTACGGCTTACATGCATTGCAGCCTTTGAAGAGTTTTCACATGCTTAGCTGAAGTTATCTCTTTTCCGTTTTACCGACGCCATCTGTCGTGTGGTTTTTTTTTTTATTTCTGTTATGATTTATTTCGGCAAACATCTTTCGTCATAAATGGATTTGGTTAACTTTGAATTTTATTTGGAACTTTCAAATTTGGAGAGGTGTTTAAATGAAAGAAGGTCCATTTTTTGTAATTGGGCAATATTTTACGGCGAGAAAAGATACATATACAAATGTATATGGTATGTTACTTAATCAACAAAGATCACTTTTCGATTTTTTTGTGTTGTTTTATGAACTAGTGTTTGACTTTTAGTCTCCATTTGATAGGCAATGATGGTCCGACTTACTAAACTCGAATTGTATTTATTTGATTGACCCATTTGGTATCGTTTTTTTTTCCATCAATCTATAAGTATTTGCCGTATGATGCTGTTTACTTATCAACAATCTTGGCTATTGAATGTTTCAAATAATACTACTGGATATTCCATTTTGGTCGTATATTCCGAACAAAAATAATTAATCTATGATCGCCTAGTTGAAGTTGTGACAATTGCCGTAATAATTGAATCGTTGTAACACATGTGATTGTTGTTTGTAAGCATGCCTTACTTTATAGAAATTAAAATAAAATAAATATTAATAAAATGTAAAAAAAGAAGCCACAAACAAACAATCCTTAATTATGAGGCCAACACAAAACCCACAGAAATTAATCTTACGTTTATTTGGCTCACATTCAATATTGTGTGTCGAGTTACATGGGTGACGAATATGAGTATGATTTGGGCATGTTCTTCCACAATCCAAACACGGATCTAAAGACTCTAATGAGCTATAGGTATAACCTTCTGTGCATTCTCTACACGTTGTGTCTTTAAAGTTTGTTCCTAAGAAAAACATTACCTTTACTGATTTTTCATACTATTTTATGTAATAGACATCGAAAAAACAAAAGTATAGTGATGATTATAATGTCAATATGAACATTGACCTTCTAGTGTTTTTTTTTCTATTCTTCTAGAACCATATTGTCGCGCTCCTTCTGGAATTCATGCGATGCCTCCAGTTTTTATTTGTTGCCCTGATTGTCTCTACCAAATAGATTTATGAGATTTGAACATCGGTAAACTGCTGTCGCAATAAGCTTAAGTTATGAATGTATATTGAATAGGAAAAAAACTATATAGCGAAATGTTTACTATTCTTACAATGCCAAAAGAAGAGAAAAAAAAAAAATCCATGCATCTTCTTCTACCATTCAATTGCCATTACTTGACTATAATTAAATCTAGTTAGTCGGACATATACAGATGCACAAACCTTATAAATCAGTTCAATTTTAACCACCAAAATTGTTAACATAAAAATGAAAATCTTCAACATTGTCAAATAAATTAAACATTGACAAATAGAAGAATCATCATCTTCATGTTATTACAAATTCTTCGCCGAGGTCATTCTTAACTCAAGTTTGCAAATTCGTTGAGTTATTGTATGTATTTAAATTATATTCTATTTTTCCAAAAGTCAACTAAAATCCAATTTTTTAAACCGCACTGAAATAAATGTTACTAAAGAAAAAGCAGTTATTCTTTATACTTTGTTCTTTCTTTTATCTTTTTTTACTAATTTTTCTCTATTCCTTAATTTGTTTGGCAATATTGTCTGTTCTGTAAAGCCTGTCCAGAAATTCTCATATTATACATTGGTATATGTTGAAATAAAATTTACATCATTACATAACAGAAAATTAGGAAGACAAAGACAGAGAAAAAGGCATTTAATAAATGTGTGCACGATTGTATTGTTGTTATTTGTTCATTCTAGGGTAGTTGAAATGTGGGTACTTAGAAAATTCCACAGATCTGTTTGAGTACATTCAATCTATGTCTCTTTCCTCTTGAAATTGTAATAACAGATGACTTATTTTTACATTGAAATAAGTATTCGCCAAAACCTGAAGACAGATTGGAAGAATTGTTCGGAATTATTTTACTAGTATAAAAAAAACAATGTAGAAAAAAAAATCTTGTTTTAGGAAGGGACAAATCATACTATTTGCAATTTTTTTTATCTGAAACGGTCATGCTTTGATTTTGTGATTGACACCATATTTGGTACGTTTGGAGGACGTATTTCTTTATACACAATACGCATTCACATAAGAACCAACTGTGGTTCTCTACTTGCTGATTTGTTATTTTATTGATTATAATGCAGAAATCATATATTAGCTTCTAAGGAAGAATGAAAAGAAGCTAGCATGATCATTTTAACTGCATTTTCCGCTATAATGATGATGTCCTCTCACTTATCTAACTGAGAGGAAGTTCAATAGACATTGTTAAATGGCACCCAACTTGCTATTTTGACTTCTGTTCTACTTATGATTCTATGATTAATTTCTAGCAAAGACAAAAAAGCATAAACATTTTGTACAAACACTATTCCACTGAATACAAGCTCAAACTGAACTAGTAGTAACAAATGCGTTATACAAAGAGAAGTGCATATTGACAATAATAGTTACAAATATGAGAATCTTTCATTATTAATCAGTTCATTTTTTTAGTATTCTCCTACCAAATAACAATGTTCTTGCCTATATGTCTAATTTTCATCAGAGATTGTTCATTCATTATATTTATAGGATTCCAAATTATATAATATAACTTAAATTTTGTCTCCCTCTTTTTCTCCGTAAATTGGAAAAGGAGTGTTTTTGGTAAATAACCATACTTATATGTAAAAATATCAATCAACAAGAGCAATTGGCGTATCTCCAAGCATGACAACCTGCTAAATTAGTTGAAAATTGAATTTAAAGTGAGATTTAAGAATTCCTATATTTTTATATACCGAAGGTCATGATACAACAAGAAACCCAATCAGATATTAAAAGTCACAAAATAATTTTACCAAAAGCTATTTTTGTAACTATAAACCAGTCATGAAATGCATGTTTCATTGAAATCAGTCTTAATTAATGCAAAATTGAAAATTTGAAAAATGAACAAAAAGGCTGAAATACCTTACTGTGGCAATTTGAGGGCTGTAATTTGACATAAACACAATTTTTATTAAAACAATGATGTTAAATGATTATTAACAACAAATTTGACGACATTTCATTGTAACGGGTATAATTTCTTAAATTTGAAATTCACATCCGTTTTAGGAATAAAAACACTCATTGATAGCCCCATTGGTTTCTATGATAAATAGTGCAAATTCAAGCACTCATAGCTATTTTTTGATTTCATGTCAAAACTTTTACTTATTCTGAATTGTGGGAAATATTCAACATACTTTTGATTGCATATCAGAGCACACTGGTTCCCTGATATTTGGTAGTACAGAAACCGGTTATTCTGATCTGAGGATTCAAGTAAACCTTCCTATTTCAATTACATATATGTTTGAAAAGAAACTTTTAAAACGGATTCTACAGAGATCCTAAGTCATTCAGATTTTATTTGATACCAAGAGTACTTTTTTGACTTATCAACTAAGCTATGGTCTTGCTACCCGGGCCCAAATTATTCGTTAAAGATTCAGTGAAGATCTTTTCAATGAAAACGCCGTCATGAGAGATGATAATTATTTACAATAAATTCCAGCATTTTTGCATCGGAAAAAAAGGACCAATGTACATTTATTGATTTGTCCATTTTCGTCAATATTGTTTTAACGTTTTTGCCTATCATAAAAGTTGAATTTAAATAATATTTATCATTTAAATTGTTTTCTGACCAAATTATACCAGTTATATTTTTATATTTTACTGTGTTACTAAAAGTAAAAATCTTGCTGGAAAATGATGAATAATCCATAAAGTATCTTTATAAATAACTCTTTCCAAACATTATGTTAGAAGTGCTACTTGATTCACCTTTATTCGGAACGGAGCAAACGTAAACTTGAAAAGCCAATGATGTCTGAATACATTTTTGCATCCTTTTTGATAATAAAAGGACACACAAGCATAGCAAAATGAACACAGTGTTAACTTTGCCCGAAGGAGCTGGAGCTTTAATATCGTAATGTGGATTAAGATTAATTCTTCATGTCTTCCATTGAATCGTTTGTAAATATTCTATTCTTTTGAACCCTTATTTATCTTTATGAAGACCGTTTGTTACCTTCTAGTTACCATTTGATGTATTTGTAAAGCGGATGTCTTATTATCCTATGTCGAACATCGTGTTCGTTCCTGTCAATACTATGGACAAAAAATCAATACATCTGCCAAAAGGAGCATACTGAGACTTTGAATTTCAATGTTTGCCGTCAGATAGTAATTTTTTAAAACATAAGCGAAAACCTACAATAGTTGCAATAATATTCAAAATAAGTAAAATGTGATAATCCTTATCAGTCGAATCCCTTCCAACAAGAAAAAATGACATTGCATCATAAAAAATTAATTAAATCAAATTATCACCGTTCGTATGTTACAAACATGTCTGACATTCATAATCTATAGACTTTGTAAGTATAAGCTAGAAACATAAACGTATTCTGCAGACGCGATAAAGCTAAGTTTTACATAATAAGCATGCAAATTATTTGCATTTTTACAAAATTAACTACCCGTTAGTCTAAGCATTTAAAATTTATACTTTACCCATATCCTTTGAGATGCAATAAATAATTGAAATATTTGACAGGTAAAAAAAAGCATTAGTACATTTAGAAAATTACGTTAAACATATGGAACGCCACAGCTGTCTTATGTGGAACTCTGATATTA